TTTGTGCTCTGGAGGAAATGTCAATTTTCGGACCAGTCGTACGTATTGCTGGTGGCAGCATGATATTTGTTTTTTAGTGAGATGTTCCAGGATACATTTTTACATTTGCCCTACCGAGGACTTGTTGATTGGTCATTCTTTTCGTGAGATATTGAGTATCTAATTTTTCATACAAGTCTGATTTACTTTGGGCTATGTACGGAATGTCAATTTTCTGACCAGCTGTACATCGCACTGGTAGCAGCGACTAGTTTGATATATTGTGAGACGTTTATGTATATATTTTTACGTTTGCCAAAGGAGGTATGTATCGATTGACTTCTCTGTTAGGGGGATATTTAATATCCAATTCGTCTTAAATCGCTTATGCAAGTTGCGCTCTTGACGAAATGTCAATTTTCCGACCAGTCGTATGTCACACTGGTGCATGCCAGTCCTTTGCAATTTTGTGAGACGTTTAAGTATATATTTTGGAGTATGCTCTTAAATGGATTTAATGAATGATGTTCCCGTTCGTGATATAATTTATATCTAATTCGTCTTAAATCTATGATGCAGTTTGTGCTCTGGAGGAAATGTCAATTTTCGAACAAGGTGTACGTTACGCTGGTGGCAGCATGATATTTGTTATTTAGTGAGATGTTTAAGGATACATGTTTACACTTGCCCTACCGAGGACTTGTTGATTGGTCATTCTATTCGTGAGATATTGAGTATCTAATTTGTCATACAAGTCTGATTTACTTTGGGCTATGTACGGAATGTCAATTTTCGGACCAGCTGTACATCGCACTGGTAGCAGCGACTAGTTTGATATATTGTGAGACGTTTATGTTTATATTTTTACGTTTGCCAAAGGAGGTATGTATCGATTGACTTCTCTGCTAGGGGGATATATAATATCCAATTCGTCTTAAATCGCTTATGCAATTTGCGCTCTTGATGAAATGTCAATTTTCCGACTAGTCGTACGTCACACTGGTACATGCCAGTGCTTTGCAATTTTGTGAGACGTTTAAGTATATATTTTGGAGTATGCTCTTGAATGCATTTAATGAATGATGTTCCTGTTCGTGATATATTTTATATCTAATTCGTCTTAAATCTATGATGCAGTTTGTGCTCTGGATGAAATGTCAATTTTCGGACCAATCGTACGTAACGCTGGTGGCAGCATGATATTTGTTATTTTATGAGATGTTTCAGGACACATTTTTACATTTGCCCTACCGAGGACTTGTTGATTGGTCATTCTATTCATGAGATATTGAGTATCTAATTTGTCATACAAGTCTGATTTACTTTGGGCTATGTACGGAATGTCAATTTTCGGACCAGCTGTACATCGCACTAGAAGCAGCGACTAGTTTGATATATTGTGAGACGTTTATGTATATATTTTTACGTTTGCCAAAGGAGGGATGTATCGATTGACTTCTCTGTTAGGGGGATATATAATATCCAATTCGTCTTAAATCGCTTATGCAATTTGCGCTCTTGACGAAATGTCAATTTCCGACCAGTCGTACGTCACACTGGTACATGCCAGTCCTTTGCAATTTTGTGAGACGTTTAAGTATATATTTTGGAGTATGCTCTTAAATTGATTTAATGAATGATGTTCCCGTTCATGATATATTTTATATCCAATTCGTCTTAAATCTATGATGCAGTTTGTGCTCTGGAGGAAATGTCAATTTTCGGACCAGTTGTACGTAAATCTGGTGGCAGCATGATATTTGTTATTTAGTGAGATGTTTCAGGATACATTTTTACATTTGCCCTACCGATCGAGGACTTGTTGATTGGTCTTTCTATTCGTGAGATATTGAGTATCTAATTTGTCATACAAGTCTGATTTATTTTGGGCTATGTACGGAATGTCAATTTTCGGACCAGCTGTACATCGCACTGGTAGCAGCGACTAGTTTGATATATTGTGAGACGTTTATGTATATATTTTTACGTTTGCCAAAGGAGGGCTGTATCGATTGACTTCTCTGTTAGGGGGATATATATAATATCCAATTCGTCTTAAATCGCTTATGCAATTTGCGCTCTTGACGAAATGTCAATTTTCCGACAACTCCATCAGGTCCAACCGACTCAACAGACAATTCTCAACTTCATACAATGTAGAGGATGCACCAATTGATTTAGAAAAAGTTGAACACACTGGTGAACTCACGAACGCTGAATTGTTGTGTCGAAGAGGGATAATAGTGCTTATATGTGTGTTTATAGTTGGGATCGGTATATTTACCAGACTGATGGTAAAATATCCAGAAGAGTCAACTGTGGCATGTGTATCTTGGGATGGTACAACAATCTTACCTAATACAACAATGCCTATGTGTAATAGCACAATAGAGACAACAACTGTGCAAATGTAGCACTAGTACTATTGGATATAGTGACTTAATTGTCACATAAAGTTATAGTTACACCCAAGTAATTCTCAGAATGTCCTTTCCCATCCTCAAATTTGCAAAATTGGCAGTGGTTTGCATGAAATGTCTAAAATACAATCGCATGATGGAATATTTTAAGTTGTACATTTTGAAATGACTGCCACCTTGGTAGAATTGAGCAAAGAACTTATTCATCAAGTTTTCTTGTAAGCAGATAATAAACAAAATGCATCTTTATTAGGTTCCTAAAATATATTCATAAATATGTAAAAGAATACATAACATCTAAGACACTAAGATGAAAGGACCATTAGATCATGGAATGAGAATTTCTCAGGGTAAAATATTCCTCTTCCAAGATCTAAGTGTCTTTATTCCCAATTTTTACAATCAGTATAGAATAGTAATACTGTACTCTCATAAACATGTCTAGATAATCACTATAATTTACATTAAAACATTTAATATTAATATATATGCATACGAGGATTGATAATGGTCTCTAATATCTCTTCAAAAATGCTCTTCAATAAATTCTATTATCACAGAGCATGCAACACCCAAGGACATAGCAGGGGACACAGGGCAAATAAGAAATGTGAAAGAATGACAACCATGAACATCATACTTATATCTGCTGTTTACTAGTTTTTAACTATCTTAATGGTCATTTGATAGTACGGTGATGTCATTTGATAGTACGTGATGTCATAAGTTTTCCACAAAGTGAATGAGCGTCATTCTTGCATTTTTTTATTTGCCCGGGTCTTTTCATTTTTAGTCGAATAACAATAAATTGAAAAGTATAGAAATTATCATAGAGATGAAGGTATTGATAACTTAATGATCATGCGCACCTCTCTTAAAAACAAATACCACAAAACAGTACTTTAAGAGACTCTATGCAAGTCATTTAAACTTTTGATCTACAACTATTCAACGCTTTTTCAAACAATGCATTCTAGTGAATAGATGAAACTTATGGTAGTTTTACTACAAACCACACAAACATAACATACATAAAATACATAAATATCACTGATAACAACTCTCAAAGAAGCACATATACAAGTATTGTATGAAATACAGAAGTCAATTGTCTTTCTACAGATAGTGATGACACATGTAACAAATATTGACAAAATACAATTGATTTTAGAGAGGATTTATATGTAAAATTGAATAATATCACAGTTCATTTTAAGATAGTCTTGCATCAAGACCTTGGACCCCCTCCCCCTTTATCTACTTTGGGTGTGCTCCTGAAAGGAGATAGATAGAATAGATAAGATAGGAGGGGGAGTCTAGTCTCGAAGCAAGACTAATCTAATCTCAGGAATGTACAAGGCATTAACACAACAAAATGTCACTCACTTTAGGTCATTGAAAGTGAAGCAAAGATCAAATCTCAAGTTACAATTGAACTTCTGAGAACTTGCAGATGATTTTAAAAAAGCAAGTTGAAAAAATACCTTTTTTGACCTTCTTAACCTTTGACCTTAAAAGTTTTATTTTTCGGTATTTTGTCATTAAGCTGGCTGAAATTTGGATTCAAAAAATCAATTTGAAAAGAATCATATTGAATTTTCAAATGTCCTTGAAGGTCATCCAAAGGTCATATCTAGTCAGATTTGAAGTTCTGAGAAGAATGTAGATTTTGAAAAAATTGGTAAATTTGAAACAAATTGAAAAAGACAACATGTCAACATGTTGCCATGGTAACAAGATATTGGCAGAAATGCTCATAACATGTAAACATATATTGACAGTAAAATTTTGAAGAGAACTTGTTAAGTTATTGGAAGTTGTAAGAATTTGTTACAGACACTGACCACTCAGCTCTGAACATCAACTACAGCTTACAAAGAAGTTGGAGACCATTGGTGACATAAAAACCCTATGGTATTCAAAATATAAATAAAAATTGTACAAAATCAACTGCACTCAGATCTAAAGATAATCTTTTAAACATCTTAAAAATATCATATCATTTGAAGAGAGCTCATTACAAACATAAATCTTCCTTGTCAATCCGTATGACGCCAGAGGATAGATAGTTTAACAGGTCTGTGGCCATTTTTCAATAAAAATGTCATTGTGCCCCTTGTCATCATTCTATTAACTAAAGAAATATTTGTCATATTTGATCATATATGCAAGTTATGTTAGATTTAAAATGCAGAAATGCCTAAATCGAATAGATCGAAAAAAGGGATGTCCATCTTTCAGGTCTTTCTTGGTCCTTTTTGAAATTTCAGTCCTGACAAGTAATTAGGGGATGATTTTTTGTAAAAATCTGACCATCTCTAAAATAGGTTGACCTCAACTCATCACTACCCTTTATTGCACCTTTGAGGTTGAAAAATAATAACAAAAAATCACACCCTGACCTTGTAACACCATCATATTGTATTATAATACTCCACCTGGTGTTTTATCTCATCACATTTCAACAGCAACATTTACAGTACAAGATGTAAAATATATATATACAATATGTATAGTTAAAAATATTCTAATTAAAATAAAAATTCTGTTACGCCGTAGCATATGGAGATTGGGTGTCTAGCAGCATGTTTTATACTGTATATTATAGAAGAAATTATGAAATAAATTGAATTGAACAATAAATTGCAACAACCCCTTCCCACACTACATTACGAGTATTTAATAGCCATTCTCTCAATATAACATATCTTTTCATTTTACTAAGTAATACCCTGTCCTTTGAATTTACATTGTACAGCATACTCTGCATATAAGGTGCACATAGGACTAATATATAAAAATAATTTCTTCAGTAATGTAGGAACAAATAGTTAGACAAAGTTTTCATTGTTGATATGTAACAGGGTTACCACTTTCACAGCAACGAAATTTCAATTCCTCTGCAAGATGCACTGAGAGCATTAATTTTGTTTTATTGATTCCAAACATGGCCAATATCTTTTCCCTGTGCAATTCCATATATCAATTCAATGTGTTTAGTGCTTGGCTTGCTTGATGTTTATATGGGATTTTTCCATATATTGTTGTATAAGTGTATCTAGTGGTGATTTTGCTGTGATGAAAAATCATTCAATCCCCAAATAAAGTTAATTACAATAAAATTTATCCAAGTCATAAACCAAGGTTAACATAAATCAGGCAAGATAAGTCAATTAAATGATATGCTACTTTTTACTACCATAAGTTGATAAAAAGTATGATGAGGCTTCTAGCGGAGCACACCCGACGACTCACTTTTCTCAGCTGTATTTGTTGGTTTCTGGTCGACAACTGCGTTATAAGAAGGTGGAGGGGGTGCGCTCATAGCTTCAGCAGGGGGCGCTGTATATCCCTGGGCCTCGTAGATAATTGGTCGTTGGAAAAACATCAGAAGATGCATGGAGAATGATGTCATACCATTCCTAGACATTGTTGGAGTTGGGAGTATTGTTGCCAGTTCCCATCCTTTATTTCCCATTTCCTGAATAATTGGTGTCCAGCTGCTTTTTGCATTTACTGAGCCAAAACCAGCCTATATAAAAATGAACAAGCCTTATTTTATGATGAAGAAAATGTGGAGAATATATTATATGAAGCCTTTATGAAATATACAGGCCACACTAAGATATTTTCAAACTGGCCCGTATATTTCATAAACGCTTCGGTATATAATATTTGAACCAAATTCCCTGATTGGTATTTGAGTTATCAAAGACACATTTACACAATAATTGCTTATCATTTTGCATTCAGCAGGAAAATATTCAAGAAAGTTTCTTCTTGTACAAAGTCTCATGTCCCTAAGGCATGATAAGTTAGAATTTGCACAAAATCTGACAATAGGTATTTGAGTTATAAAAAACTATATCTTATGATTTTTTTGAGCAGCCATACTGAAAATACCTTTTTGAACAGGGGTCCTACTCCCATTTGACCAAAGTCTGTTGACTGGTATAAAATGATCAACGATTACATTTTTTGAAAAATGGTGGTCATTTTGAATTCAGTGGCCATCTTGAAGAAATTCAAAAAAGGTCCCAAATCAGCATATAAAATGGAACTAAATTCTTTAACTGGTATGAGTCACCAAAGCTTACATTTTTCAAAAATATAATATAAATAATAAAGCAGCCATATTGAAAATTTCTTCTTAAGCAAAGGTCTAAATACTGAAATACCATAGAACATTATAGCCACATTATAGCCTAGTATAGTTATAGTTATCAAAGATAATATTTTTCACAAAATATGGTGGCCATTTTGAATTTACTGGCCATACTGAAAATTCCTATTATATGCAAATATTCCCAAAAGGCAACGACCAATAAAATTTGAACCAAATAGTGAACTGGTAGGCCAAGTTATTTGTCCAGACAGACAACATGATGGATGGACAAATGGCTTCTCTAAATATCCCTCCTGAAGTTTGGTGGAATAAGAACTTACTGATATCTCATGAGCGTATGGAATAATTGCTCCCTGGTACAAAGGAGTTGTATCATTCAGTCGAGAATTCTCTTTTTCAAACCACCAAATTGAGTTAAGGGTGCCTCCAGCAGACATTAGCCCAGTTCCTAAAAACATAAAATTATTGTAAGAGGCATGGCTGCTTCAAAAGATACAAGTATCTTCATAGAAATGTATATTTGTACATAGTTTCCACATCAAACATCAAAACACTAGATGCAACTCCCTCGCCTTTTGAAAATGAAGTATTTTAACAAAGGTATTACCTAACTGGGAACTAGTTTTTTACACTTAGAACCATCCCTGAAGTTTTCAAATTATTCATCAAGCTTTTTGACAAGATTTTAGGATGGGAAATCCAAAATGTCTGCCTAAAAATTACCCGGCATGACTAAATGAAGAGACATTCCCCACTTTATATTTATTTAAATATTACTGTAGTTACTTTGCTGTGACTGGGAGTTGTCCAGGAAAATCTCAATGAGTTTCCAGCCTTGATTCAGCCAGCTTCCAAACTGGGCATTCCAGTCAATATTGCACTGAAAACTGAAAATAAACGATATGCATTTGAGCATGTATGCATGAATTTTGTGCGGGAGAAATTTAAGAATAACCTCTAGGCTAGGCAAAATAAAATTAAAATACATATAGAAATAGAAAATCAAAATAAATATTGAGTACTAACCTTGGCATTGAAAAGCCAGCTTGCACAGTGTATGGTACAGGAACATTAGCAGCCTGGTAGCTATACAACTTGGGGTTGGGGTGGAGTGGCATGTTAAACATCATATCAACTCCAAATGCTACAATGAAAATAAAATAAGAGCTACATAAGAAAGACATGATATGACTAAAATTTCTATTTTCATTCATTTAATTACTTGTGCACTTAAGTATCAGTGTTCCATGAACATGTGATAATCGGAGTAAATGAATGGAGGAGGAGTAGCTGATTTTTGCTAGAAAATTTAACATTTCTGAGATTTATTTTTTCAAAATAAAGTTTATAATTAAATTGCTAGGTAAATAGGCGTGTGCACAACATAGGGTATATGTTAGGTTTTTTGAATAGATAAGCTTCTGGAAATATGACTTCAAGAATTATGTCAATATTTTTGCTATAAATCAAGCAACAATGGTGTAAACGACGTGTAATAAATACTTACAAGTGACATCATTATCAATGAACATTGAACAGAGGGGGGAGTGAACAGAGGGGGAGTGAACAGAGGGGGGAGTGAACAGAGGGGGAGTGAACAAAGGGGGAGTGAACAGAGGGGGAAGTGAACAAAGGGGGAGTGAACAGAGGGGGAGTGAACAGAAGGGGGAGTGAACAGAGGGGGAGTGAACAGAGGGGGAGTGAACATAGGGGGGAGTGAACAGAGGGGGAGTGAACAGAGGGGGAAGTGAACAGAGGGGGAGTGAACAGAGGGGGAGTGAACAGAAGGGGGAGTGAACAGAAGGGGGAGTGAACAGAGGGGGAGTGAACAGAGGGGGAGTGAACAGAGGGGGAGTGAACAGAGGGGGGAGTGAACAGAGGGGGAGTGAACAGAGGGGGAGTGAACAGAGGGGGAGTGAACAGAGGGGGAGTGAACAGAGAGGAGAGTTACATATGTCTTTAAGGTGGAATAAATTTGTGTATTCGAAAAATGAACTCAGTAACAACTGGATGTGAAAGATAGGGACAATTGAGTTACTGGAGATTAGAAACACATCACTCCACTACTTAACTGAATTGACATACCTCCGCCATATCCTGACATGGCTTGGGACATATTAGGTCCTTGTTGGGCCCCTGTCATTTCTACACAGATCAATCTTCCTCCAGCCTGAGTCATCTCATGAATCTGAAACAAATAATAATTACATGTATGCCGCAATGATCAGAAGAAATAAGGTAGCATCATTCATCTAATTTGCTATGCCCCGATAATTGGTACATCCCAGTGGCAACACTTACTATGGATTTGTGGGACGGTACCATCATGTGCTGCATTAAATAATATATTTTTATACATGGTGTATCTTTTTTAAAATTAATTCCCCTTTTATACTTTTTAAAAACATTTCCATTAATTCAATTCTAAAAGTATATTTTACCTTATCATGGATGTGTGATGTATTTGCTGCTGATGCACCTCCCCCACTTATTAAACCATAGTTACCTTATCATGGATGTGTGATGTATTTGCTGCTGATGTGCCTCCCCCACTTATTAAACTATAGTTACCTTATCATGGATGTGTGATGTATTTGCTGCTGATGCACCTCCCCCACTTATTAAACCATAGTTACCTTATCATGGATGTGTGATGTATTTGCTGCTGCTGCACCTCCCCCGCTTATTAAACCATAGTTACCTTATCATGGATGTGTGATGTATTTGCTGCTGCTGCACCTCCCCCACTTATTAAACCATAGTTACCTTATCATGGATGTGTGATGTATTTGCTGCTGCTGCACCTCCCCCACTCATTAAACCATAGTTACCTTATCATGGATGTGTGATGTATTTGCTGCTGCTGCACCTCCCCCACTCATTAAACCATAGTTACCTTATCATGGATGTGGGATGTATTTGCTGCTGATGCACCTCCCCCACTTATTAAACCATAGTTACCTTATCATGGATGTGTGATGTATTTGCTGCTGATGCGCCTCCCCCACTTATTAAACCATAGTTACCTTATCATGAATGTGTGATGTATTTGCTGCTAATGTGCCTCCCCCACTTATTAAACCAGTTACCTTATCATGGATGTGTGATGTATTTGCTGCTGCTGCACCTCCCCCGCTTATTAAACCATAGTTACCTTATCATGGATGTGTGATGTATTTGCTGCTGCTGCACCTCCCCCACTTATTAAACCATAGTTACCTTATCATGGATGTGTGATGTATTTGCTGCTGCTGCACCTCCCCCACTCATTAAACCATAGTTACCTTATCATGGATGTGTGATGTATTTGCTGCTGCTGCACCTCCCCCACTCATTAAACCATAGTTACCTTATCATGGATGTGGGATGTATTTGCTGCTGATGCACCTCCCCCACTTATTAAACCATAATTACCTTATCATGGATGTGTGATGTATTTGCTGCTGATGCGCCTCCCCCACTTATTAAACCATAGTTACCTTATCATGAATGTGTGATGTATTTGCTGCTAATGTGCCTCCCCCACTTATTAAACCAGTTACCTTATCATGGATGTGTGATGTATTTGCTGCTGCTGCGCCTCCCCCACTTATTAAACCAGTTACCTTATCATGGATGTGTGATGTATTTGCTGCTGCTGCACCTCCCCCACTTATTAAACCATAGTTACCTTATCATGGATGTGTGATGTATTTGCTGCTGCTGCACCTCCCCCACTCATTAAACCATAGTTACCTTATCATGGATGTGTGATGTATTTGCTGCTGCTGCACCTCCCCCACTCATTAAACCATAGTTACCTTATCATGGATGTGGGATGTATTTGCTGCTGATGCACCTCCCCCACTTATTAAACCATAGTTACCTTATCATGGATGTGTGATGTATTTGCTGCTGATGCGCCTCCCCCACTTATTAAACCATAGTTACCTTATCATGAATGTGTGATGTATTTGCTGCTAATGTGCCTCCCCCACTTATTAAACCATAGTTACCTTATCATGGATGTGTGATGTATTTGCTGCTGATGTGCCTCCCCCACTTATTAAACCATAGTTACCTTATCATGGATGTGTGATGTATTTGCTGCTGCTGCACCTCCCCCACTTATTAAACCACAGTTACCTTATCGTGGATGTGTGATGTATTTGGTGCTGATGCACCTCCCCCACTTATTAAACCATAGTTACCTTATCGTGGATGTGTGATGTATTTGCTGCTGCTGCACCTCCCCCACTTATTAAACCATAGTTACCTTATCGTGGATGTATGATGTATTTGCTGCTGATGCGCCTCCCCCACTTATTAAACCATAGTTACCTTATCATGGATGTGTGATGTATTTGCTGCTGATGCGAATCCCCCACTTATTAAACTATAGTTACCTTATCATGGATGTGTGATGTATTTGCTGCTGATGCGCCTCCCCCACTTATTAAACCATAGTTACCTTATCATGGATGTGTGATGTATTTGCTGCTGCTGCACCTCCCCCACTCATTAAACCATAGTTACCTTATCGTGGATGTGTGGTGTATTTGCTGCTGCTGCACCTCCCCCACTCATTAAACCATAGTTACCTTATCGTGGATGTGTGATGTATTTGCTGCTGATGCACCTCCCCCACTTATTAAACCATAGTTACCTTATCATGGATGTGTGATGTATTTGCTGCTGCTGCACCTCCCCCACTTATTAAACCATAGTTACCTTATCATGGATGTGTGATGTATTTGCTGCTGCTGCACCTCCCCCACTCATTAAACCATAGTTACCTTATCAGGGATGTGTGATGTATTTGCTGCTGATGCACCTCCCCCACTTATTAAACCATAGTTACCTTATCATGGATGTGTGATGTATTTGCTGCTGCTGCACCTCCCCCACTCATTAAACCATAGTTACCTTATCATGGATGTGTGATGTATTTGCTGCTGCTGCACCTCCCCCACTTATTAAACCATAGTTACCTTATCATGGATGTGTGATGTATTTGCTGCTGCTGCACCTCCCCCACTTATTAAACCACAGTTACCTTATCATGGATGTGTGATGTATTTGCTGCTGCTGCACCTCCCCCACTTATTAAACCATAGTTACCTTATCATGGATGTGTGATGTATTTGCTGCTGATGTGCCTCCCCCACTTATTAAACCACAGTTACCTTATCATGGATGTGTGATGTATTTGCTGCTGATGCACCTCCCCCACTCATTAAATCATAGTTACATTATCGTGGATGTGTGATGTATTTGCTGCTGCTGCACCTCCCCCACTCATTAAACCATAGTTACCTTATCATGGATGTGTGATGTATTTGCTGCTGATGCACCTTCCCCACTTATTAAACCATAGTTACCTTATCATGGATGTGTGATGTATTTGCTGCTGCTGCACCTCCCCCACTTATTAAACCACAGTTACCTTATCATGGATGTGTGATGTATTTGCTGCTGATGCACCTCCCCCACTTATTAAACCAAAGTTACCTTATCATGAATGTGTGATGTATTTACTGCTGATGCACCTCCCCCACTTATTAAACCATAGTTACCTTATCGTGAATGTGTGATGTATTTGCTGCTGATGTGCCTCCTCCACTTATTAAACCATAGTTACCTTATCGTGGATGTGTGATGTATTTGCTGCTGATGCGCCTCCCCCACTTATTAAACCATAGTTACCTTATCATGAATGTGTGATGTATTTGCTGCTGATGTGCCTCCCCCACTTATTAAACCATAGTTACCTTATCATGAATGTGTGATGTATTTGCTGCTGATGTGCCTCCCCCACTTATTAAACCATAGTTACCTTATCATGGATGTGTGATGTATTTGCTGCTGATGTGCCTCCCCCACTTATTAAACCATAGTTACCTTATCGAGGATGGGTGTGTATTTGCTGCTGATGCGCCTCCCCCACTTATTAAACCATAGTTACCTTATCATGAATGTGTGATGTATTTGCTGCTGATGCGCCTCCCCCACTTATTAAACCATAGTTACCTTATCATGGATGTGTGATGTATTTGCTGCTGCTGCACCTCCCCCACTTATTAAACCACAGTTACCTTATCGTGGATGTGTGATGTATTTGCTGCTGATGCACCTCCCCCACTTATTAAACCATAGTTACCTTATCGTGGATGTGTGATGTATTTGCTGCTGATGTGCCTCCCCCACTTATTAAACCATAGTTACCTTATCATGGATGTGTGATGTATTTGCTGCTGATGCACCTCCCCCACTTATTAAACCATAGTTACCTTATCATGGATGTGTGATGTATTTGCTGCTGATGCACCTCCCCCACTTATTAAACCATAGTTACCTTATCATGAATGTGTGATGTATTTGCTGCTGATGCACCTCCCCCACTTATTAAACCATAGTTACCTTATCATAAATGTGTGATGTATTTGCTGCTGATGCACCCCCCTCCACTTATTAAACCATAGTTACCTTATCATGAATGTGTGCTGTATTTGCTGCTGATGCACCTCCCCCACTTATTAAACCATAGTAACCTTATCGTGGATGTGTGTGTATTTGCTGCTGATGCGCCTCCCCCACTTATTAAACCATAGTTACCTTATCATGAATGTGTGATGTATTTGCTGCTGATGCGCCTCCCCCACTTATTAAACCATAGTTACCTTATCATGGATGTGTGATGTATTTGCTGCTGCTGCACCTCCCCCACTTATTAAACCATAGTTACCTTATCATGGATGTGTGATGTATTTGCTGCTGCTGCACCTCCCCCACTCATTAAACCATAGTTACCTTATCATGGATGTGTGATGTATTTGCTGCTGATGCACCTCCCCCACTTATTAAACCACAGTTACCTTATCGTGGATGTGTGATGTATTTGCTGCTGATGCACCTCCCCCACTTATTAAACCATAGTTACCTTATCGTGGATGTGTGATGTATTTGCTGCTGATGTGCCTCCCCCACTTATTAAACCATAGTTACCTTATCATGGATGTGTGATGTATTTGCTGCTGATGTGCCTCCCCCACTTATTAAACCATAGTTACCTTATCATGGATGTGTGATGTATTTGCTGCTGCTGCACCTCCCCCACTTATTAAACCACAGTTACCTTATCGTGGATGTGTGATGTATTTGCTGCTGATGTGCCTCCTCCACTTATTAAACCATAGTTACCTTATCATGGATGTGTGATGTATTTGCTGCTGATGCGCCTCCCCCACTTATTAAACCATAGTTACCTTATCATGAATGTGTGATGTATTTGCTGCTGATGTGCCTCCCCCACTTATTAAACCATAGTTACCTTATCATGGATGTGTGATGTATTTGCTGCTGATGTGCCTCCCCCACTTATTAAACCATAGTTACCTTATCATGGATGTGTGATGTATTTGCTGCTGCTGCACCTCCCCCACTTATTAAACCACAGTTACCTTATCGTGAATGTGTGATGTATTTGCTGCTGATGCACCTCCCCCACTTATTAAAGCATAGTTACCTTATCGTGGATGTGTGATGTATTTGCTGCTGATGTGCCTCCCCCACTTATTAAACCATAGTTACCTTATCATGGATGTGTGATGTATTTGCTGCTGATGTGCCTCCCCCACTTATTAAACCATAGTTACCTTATCATGGATGTGTGATGTATTTGCTGCTGCTGCACCTCCCCCGCTTATTAAACCATAGTTACCTTATCATGGATGTGTGATGTATTTGCTGCTGCTGCACCTCCCCCACTCATTAAACCATAGTTACCTTATCATGGATGTGTGGTGTATTTGCTGCTGATGTGACTCCCCCACTTATTAAACCATAGTTACCTTATCATGGATGTGTGATGTATTTGCTGCTGATGTGCCTCCCCCACTTATTAAACCATAGTTACCTTATCATGGATGTGTGATGTATTTGCTGCTGATGCACCTCCCCCACTTATTAAACCATAGTTACCTTATCATGGATGTGTGATGTATTTGCTGCTGCTGCACCTCCCCCACTTATTAAACCATAGTTACCTTATCATGGATGTGTGATGTATTTGCTGCTGCTGCACCTCCCCCACTTATTAAACCATAGTTACCTTATCGTGGATGTGTGATGTATTTGCTGCTGATGCGCCTTCCCCACTTATTAAACCAGTTACCTTATCATGGATGTGTGTGTATTTGCTGCTGCTGCACCTCCCCCACTCATTAAACCATAGTTACCTTATCATGGATGTGTGATGTATTTGCTGCTGATGTGCCTCCCCCACTTATTAAACCATAGTTACCTTATCATGGATGTGTGATGTATTTGCTGCTGATGTGCCTCCCCCACTTATTAAACCATAGTTACCTTATCATGGATGTGTGATGTATTTGCTGCTGATGTGCCTCCCCCACTTATTAAACCATAGTTACCTTATCATGGATGTGTGATGTATTTGCTGTTGATGCACCTCCCCCACTTATTAAACCATAGTTACCTTATCATGGATGTGTGATGTATTTGCTGCTGATGAACCTCCCCCACTTATCAAGCCATAGCGGAATACCTGCAGTTCAATGACACTCTTCTCTACACGCAATTGCCACCTTTCTGGTGATGGTGCACTAGAAGAAACAGTATTAACATACAGGGTGAGCCAAAAAGGTAACCCAAACAAATGTATGTTGATAACTCAGTCATTCAGCATGGGTTTAAAATCATATTTGGCACAATTAAACCTTGTTCAATGATCTTTCATTCTACTTGGTGCAGCGTTATTGATGCACATAATAAGTGGAAAATTCAATTTACTGCACCGAAGCCAAGTGAATTTGAATATCAATGCACCAAGTGGAGAATTTGAATATTGCATGCTGCACCATGTTGAAACTGAGAATATTGACGCACCCAAATCAAGAATTTGAATATCATATTTGGTGTTTTAACCCATATTTATCTGCAATATTTCTAATGCGGTTCTTAATATTAAATGTCATGATGAGTATAAGAACATTTAACAGCAGCTGCTGAAATTTAATTTAACTGCTGGTATATGAAAAATAACACGGCATTACCCCCACCAATGAGAGCAGCAGGTTGTGAGATGTCCCCAGCTGATTCATTATGCATTTCTAGAAATTCACGAAAGAGAATCCCTGAATTTGAACCTGCTGTTTGCTTATATGGATTTAAAATAATAGATAAAAGCAACGTCAAGGTATAGCAAATAAAATAAAATAGCCATGGCTGCAATTTGTACAAAATCCCTGCACTCCAAATATCTTAAAATTACACACACAAAAATGGCCACCATTTTCCAAAGTGGCTGCTCACTAGACAAATTGTCATAAGAAAGTGAAATATGATTCTTAGAAGGCACATATCAAATTTCAACAAAATGGATCTAGCCAAAGTGTCATAAGACAATGTGACACACTTATGAGCATTCTAATGTCAAAAATGAACGAAATCACTCTACTACTTTTCCAGTTACAGCAAAAATTGTAAAATATCGAGAACCGCCACTATGTTTTTCCAGTTGAGAAAACCTGTTAGGATCAATATCAAACCTACTCACACATTTATTGGTCTGGTGTGTATAGCCTGGTATGGGAATGTGACACTCATGCTTATCATCCCACCACGGTTCATTTGGCCAGGAATCTTCATGAATTGTGTCATGACATAACCATCATTGTAAGGCTGAACTATGGTTGCATAGTATTGGTCGATGTCAGACGTCAGTTGTTGACCACCAAAACCAAACTGCACTGAAAATATATAATGGCTGTATAATATAATGGTTCTTGGAAATATATGATGGCTGTATAATATAATGGTTCTGGGAAATATATGATGGCTGTATAATATAATGGTTCTGGGAAATATATGATGGCTGTATAATATAATGGTTCTGGGAAATATATGATGGCTGTATAATATAATGGTTTCTGGGAAATATATGTTGGCTGTATAATATAATGGTTTCTGGGAAATATATGATGGCTGTATAATATAATGGTTTCTGGGAAATATATGATGGCTGTACAATATAATGGTTTCTGGGAAATATATGTTGGCTGTATAATATAATGGTTTCTGGGAAATATATGATGGCTGTATAATATAATGGTTCTGGGAAATATATGATGGCTGTATAATATAATGGTTCTGGGAAATATATGATGGCTGTATAATATAATGGTTCTGGGAAATATATGATGGCTGTAAAATATAATGGTTCTTGGAAATATATGATGGCTGTATATTATAATGGTTCTGGGAAATATATGATGGCTGTATAATATAATGGTTTCTGGGAAATATATGTTGGCTGTATAATATAATGGTTTCTGGGAAATATATGATGGCTGTACAATATAATGGTTTCTGGGAAATATATGATGGCTGTATAATATAATGGTTCTAGGAAATATATGATGGCTGTACAATATAATGGTTCTGGGACATATATGATGGCTGTATAATATAATGGTTTCTGGGAAATATATGCTGGCTGTACAATATAATGGTTTCTGGGAAATATATGATGGCTGTATAATATAATGGTTCTGGGAAATATATGATGGCTGTACAATATAATGGTTTCTGGGAAATATATGATGGCTGTATAATATAATGGTTCTTGGAAATATATGATGGCTGTATAATATAATGGTTCTAGGAAATATATGATGGCTGTACAATATAATGGTTCTGGGAAATATATGATGGCTATATAATATGATGGTTTCTGGGAAATATGTGATGGCTGTATAATATAATGGTTCTGGGAAATATATGATGGCTGAATAATATAATGGTTCTGGGAAATATATGATGGTTGTATAATATAACGGTTCTGGGAAATATATGATGGCTGCATAATATAATGGTTCTGGGAAATATATGATGGCTGTACAATATAATGGTTCTGGGAAATATATGATGGCTGTATAATATAATGGTTCTGGGAAATATATAATGGCTGTACAATATAATGGTTTCTGGGAAATATATGATGGCTGTATAATATAATGGTTCTTGGAAATATATGATGGCTGTATAATATAATGGTTCTGGGAAATATATGATGACTGTATAATATAATGGTTCTAGGAAATATATGATGGCTGTATAATATAATGGTTTCTGGGAAATATATGATGGCTGTATAATATAATGGTTTCTGGGAAATATATGATGGCTGTATAATATAATGGTTCTGGGAAATATATGATGGCTGTACAATATAATGGTTCTGGGAAATATATGATGGCTGTATAATATAATGGTTCTGGGAAATATATGATGGCTGTATAATATAATGGTTCTGGGAAATATATGATGGCTGTATAATATAATGGTTTGTGGGAAATATATGTTGGCTGTATAATATAATGGTTTCTGGGAAATATATGATGGCTGTATAATATAATGGTTCTGGGAAATATATGATGGCTGTATAATATAATGGTTTCTGGGAAATATATGATGGCTGTATAATATAATGGTTCTGGGAAATATATGATGGCTGTATAATATAATGGTTCTGGGAAATATATGATGGCTGTAAAATATAATGGTTCTTGGAAATATATGATGGCTGTATAATATAATGGTTCTGGGAAATATATGATGGCTGTATAATATAATGGTTCTGGGAAATATATGATGGCTGTATAATATAATGGTTTCTGGGAAATATATGTTGGCTGTATAATATAATGGTTTCTGGGAAATATATGATGGCTGTACAATATAATGGTTTCTGGGAAATATATGATGGCTGTATAATATAATGGTTTTAGGAAATATATGATGGCTGTACAATATAATGGTTCTGGGACATATATGATGGCTGTATAATATAATGGTTTCTGGGAAATATATGCTGGCTGTACAATATAATGGTTTCTGGGAAATATATGATGGCTGTATAATATAATGGTTCTGGGAAATATATGATGGCTGTACAATATAATGGTTTCTGGGAAATATATGATGGCTGTATAATATAATGGTTTCTGGGAAATATATGATGGCTGTACAATATAATGGTTTCTGGGAAATATATGATGGCTGTATAATATAATGGTTTCTGGGAAATATATGTTGGCTGTATAATATAATGGTTCTTGGAAATATATGATGGCTGTATAATATAATGGTTCTAGGAAATATATGATGGCTGTACAATATAATGGTTCTGGGAAATATATGATGGCTATATAATATGATGGTTTCTGGGAAATATGTGATGGCTGTATAATATAATGGTTCTGGGAAATATATGATGGCTGAATAATATAATGGTTCTGGGAAATATATGATGGTTGTATAATATAACGGTTCTGGGAAATATATGATGGCTGCATAATATAATGGTTCTGGGAAATATATGATGGCTGTACAATATAATGGTTCTGGGAAATATATGATGGCTGTATAATATAATGGTTCTGGGAAATATATAATGGCTGTACAATATAATGGTTTCTGGGAAATATATGATGGCTGTATAATATAATGGTTCTGGGAAATATATGATGGCTGTATAATATAATGGTTCTGGGAAATATATGATGACTGTATAATATAATGGTTCTAGGAAATATATGATGGCTGTATAATATAATGGTTTCTGGGAAATATATGATGGCTGTATAATATAATGGTTTCTGGGAAATATATGATAGCTGTACAATATAATGGTTTCTATGAAATATATGATGGCTGTATAATATAATGGTTCTGGGAAATGTATAATGGCTGTACAATATAATGGTTTCTATGAAATATATGTTGGCTGTATAATATAATGGTTCTGGGAAATATATGATGGCTGTATAATATAATGGTTCTGGGAAATAAATGATGGCTGTATAATATAATGGTTCTGGGAAATATATGATGGCTGTATAATATAATGGTTCTGGGAAATATATGATGGCTGTATAATATAATGGTTTCTGGGAAATATATGATGGCTGTATAATATAATGGTTCTGGGACATATATGATGGCTGTATAATATAATGGTTCTGGGAAATATATAATGGCTGTATAATATAATGGTTTCTGGGAAATATATGATGGCTGTATAATTTAATGGTTCTAGGAATTATATGATGGCTGCACGACTGGTAATAATTTGAAAGCTTATCATGTATTTTGTAATGTGTGGTTTATGTTTTCTTGCATATATAACGAAAAAGGTAAAAATCACAACTTTGATAATTTTTGATCGAGCATAAGTTTGCCTTTACATAATTCAATGAAGATGAACATATCCTTGCATGATGCACCATAACAAGTTACATACTGCACATTACAGTTACATGACAAGCTTTCAAATAATACTATTTGTGCAACAATACATTGTGTTCTTTAGGATTATATCGGCCCGACAAAATTTGGTTCAATCAGTTATAGGTGAGAGGAGTTTTTTCCAAAGTTTCCAGTCCATATTTTTAAGTCGATAATTGAACTAAGCAAACAAAAATACTGAAATCATGCGTCATATGACTTCAAATTCTATACATGTACATGCATCAACAAATGTTAAAACCTTTAGTAAGCTTGTATTCGTGAATGCAACTTTTGACTGTCACCAACTGGATTAACCTACTACTTTATGACAAACTCATTTTTTGAATGGAATAGTGGCAGGCACTATTCATATTTAAATGAGTTGCCCATTAAATAGTAGGTTGATCCAGTAGCCAAGAGCTGAAAGTTGCATTTTGCGAATGCAATCTTAGACTAATTAACTTTTATGGCATTTGGTTCATATACGGTGCACTCTTTTCATAGAATATATGTAAGTGTCCTATTTTCTGGCCCACCATGTATAAATCAGGTCAAAATATATTTTAATTCTTAATTCTACCATTATTCACGCCTAACCATCGACAAGGTACAGTGACAAAATATACCGTAGTACACTTTAGATGTACGATGTCACTATTTAACCGATTTGAAGCAAAGACAATAATGTAGGTTTGATGTAGGTTTTAAAAAAATAATCTGAGGAATGCATTAAGGATTTCATGTTTGATTCTTTGTGTATTCTTTTAGGAAGACATTTAACTTTCCAATAAAGTTAAAAGATTTTCGCACAGTGCTCTATTTTTTTTCGTAGTCAATCTACCCATATAATTTGTCGGTTGGAAAATGTTGTGTTTTTACACATTTCCTTTGATCATTTCCTCCCCTGTTGTCTAAGAGTGTCGAAGATTTTTATGAGAATATGTTTCTTTAAACAGCACAATTAAAGATTTAATAAGTATTAACCTTTCGGCTATAATTTAAAGAATCATAAGGGGTGGGGTCAAAATATCAATGTTCATATGGAGACGAAAGTAATTTCGTTTGGACAACAACCCCCCCCCCACCCCCCTCTAGACGAAAGCTTAGGTCACTTCAAAAAAAACATTGATTTTCAGGCATAATCGTATCCTATTTGCCGGGTTATTATTACGGTGAATTAACACACCTTCGCAATTTAACTGCATTGAACTCTTCAAAAGGAGGAGGGAAAAGTACGGAATTTATTTGAAAAATGATCGAATTATCGTCTTTATCTACCGATATTTTGGACCTATCACACAAAAAAGCTCACGAACTATTGAAAACAAGCCTTTTTATCAGAACATAGCGCCAGAAAAAGTGGGTAAGTCCAATTATTTTTTGTATATCAGATCCGAATTATCGATGTTTTTTTGGTCAACGAAAGTGCCCAAAAACCCCCTCCCCCTCGCGAAAGTACTTTCGTCTCCATATGAACATCGATATTTTGACCCCGCCCCTAAGTGTACTTTGTCAACTCGAATGTACATTGTCCCATTGAACTTACTCAATTTACAGTTAACCCTAATGCAGCTGACAACGTATTTTTCATTACACTAACAGACAGGGGGGTCAGATGCATTTTAAATTGAATCAGGACAATTATAGAATTACTCTAATTTGATTGAACTATTGAAACTTTCCAGATATATCATAAACGGGATTTTAAAAAGTCATATTCAATCAGCTAGTATAGATCAGTAGATCTATCTATCAATGTAACTAACAAAACATAAGGCAGAGACGCCAAATAATCAAACAGGCTGGAAACAGACTCCGTGGCAGTGCTAGTCTTCAACATATTCTATTCCGAGACACTGGATGGGAGTTTGGGCTGGAAGCTAACACCAAATGGCAGTGGTTTCAGTAACTTTTTTTACAAGAGGCAGATGAGAAATACAAGGGGCGGCATTCAAAATAACCAATTGTACACTCCCGAAAATGCAAATTCTTGTTATTCACTGGTGATCCGCTCAATTACGCTGGTTACCGAAACGGTTCGTTTTGGTAATAAAATGTTGGAACGTCGAAGGTACGATTTTTCTTTTTTCCTTATTTCACGCGTTTTAGGCAGAATCCCAACGACATTTTTTCTCACAAACTAGTATCAGCACCATATGTTTTAGAAAATGTACATAGGTCAGAAGACAACAGAATCGTCGATTTAATTCCTCACTTAAGTTACATAAACGGTTTGGGTTAAAAGTGCAGATCTTAACTGTTTTTCGAAAAACCATTTATGTAACTTAAGGATGTTCCCTGGACGAAGTTGAAAACGATGAACACCAACCCCTAATTTTTCTTTTCAAAATGTGAAGTACATAGCATAACTAAGTGTTTCTGTGAGTTTAAGAAAAAGTTAAATATTCAAAAGTGTGTTTTGGGGTGAAAACCTGATTTTTAACATGGGTTTCAATGAGAAAGTGCCACACCCACTTTTGTCAAATATTGACACTTTAGAGGCCTCTTGCTCAGAAAAAAGCACACTAACATATGGTTTTTAAAGTTTTAATATTCTTTGTTGCCCGTGAGAATCCCAGAAAACCATTTTTGAGAAAAAGTTAAATACTATTGAATATTTTCCTATCTGACCAGGGAACATCCTTAAGTTAGGAATTAAATAGACGATTCTGTTGTCTTCTGAACTATTTATTCAAAAATATGTACATTTTCTTAAACATATGATACTGATACACGTTTGTGTAAAAGATGTCGTGGAAATTCTGCATACAACGTGTGAAATAAGGAAAAAAGAAAAATCGTACCTTCGATGTTCCAACATTTTGTTAGCAGAACGAACCGTTTCGGTAACCAGCGTAATCGAGTGGAGCACCAGTGTTATTATAGCTTCGGCGCACCGAAAGTGGATGAATGGACAGGGAATGTCGAAATTAAATTTGATCTAATCCACTTATTATTGTTCTTGTAAGATTAAAGGCAAAATATACTAAATGTCACAAAAGTGCAAGGATGAACAATTCACCTGTGAATATATTTCAGACAATGTATCTCATATACAAGAGTATTGCACAGTCATTCAAAGTTTTGAACATTGAATCCTATTGAGGGGTGATTTAAAAGATTTTACGTATTGCAGGTTTTCCAAAGTCATTTCCATGTGTGATATTGTCAATTTAATTGACCACAAGACACGGGCTACACAAAATAACACCTTGAACTGTGGAATGACTAGGGCAACTCATATAGAATGCCATTTTTACCTTTTATATTCTTATGAAAATAAATTATGATTTACTCTTCCACAGGTTTCATTTTACAAATTCAAATGCACTTCCCGGGTTGAACTCTCAATATAGAATGCAACCTGTGTGAAAAGAATGCAACCTGTGTGTATACAATGTACAGGGCGTTCAATAAGTACTGATGAAATGATGTGACTTTTTTAATCTCCCCCCCTACCCCCCCCCCCCCTAAAACTAAAGACAATATTTGGCTTCTGACAACCGGCGAATTATAGAAAACAAACGGCAATTTTGGACTCTCGCCCCCTGCTATTGAAAGCCCAGCAAATGGGCACAAATTAACCACAACCACAACAATACTTTCATAAAATGAAAAAGCAAAAAGGATACTTGATTTGAACATGTTCGTTAAAGATCATTTGCTACAAATAAAAACCTTAATGAATTTTGAAATGAAATCATTACATTGTTTAATATAAAGTATATCTCATGAATTTCAATTACAGGGACAACGTACATTTGAGTTGACAACACACATTTCTGACTTCTTTTAAATAACAATAACTACTTCAATATTTATTAATCTCCAGCCGTCCTAAATTGAGTAGTATAGAGAAACATATTATCATAAAAATAATAGACACTCTTAGGCAACAGGGGAAAAAATTATCAAAGGAAATGGGAAAAACCCAAAATTTTCCAACCGATCAATTTTCGTGGGTAGATTGACCACGAAAAAAATCGAGCACTGTTCGAAAAAATTTTAACACTATTAGAATTTAGTTAAAAGTCTTCCTAAACGAATACACACGAAATTAAACATGAAATCTTTCAAGTGTTCCCAAGATTAATTTTTTAAATTCTACATCACACCTGCATCATTGTCTTTGCTTCTATTCGATTGAATAGTGACATCGTACATCTAAAGTGTACTACGTTATATTTTGTCACTGTACCTTGTCGATGGTTAGGCGTGATTATTGTGTTTATGTGTATAAAATAATTTGAATTACTGTGTGCTTTCATCTTCACAGGCACATCTATGAGGCAGTACTGAAGCTGGGGACCTCTGTAAGGTACGGGGTCTACTGGGATGAGGGACTGGAGTTGGGCCGCAGTCCTTTCTTCTTTGGTCAGTTTCCTGGGCTTTGGGCCTGACTGTTTTGATGACGCAGCTCCCATTGTCACCTAGTAAGAAATAAACAACTTAAACTCTGCAATGACCTAAATGTTGTTAGCATTCATACAAAATAATTTTACAAAATAAGTTACTGTAGATTGGGTTAATTTGGCGCTACTTAATTTGGCGATTTTGCCATTTTTGGCATATTGGCGGCTATTTAATTTGGCGGATAAGCACTGGCGATATTCACCACGGTTGTACATTTTTGTGAGATCATCCTTTACATTTTGCCCCTCGATCAATGCTGCTACTATACCGTGCTTTTCCTTTCTAGTTTTCCCCGAGTATTAAATACACTGGACGAAATACCCTAGATAATTCCCAGGGATTCATTCTAAATTTTGGCGAAGATTTATATTGGCGAATTTTTCAATATCGCCACATTCGCCAAATTAAAGCGGGCGCCAAATTAACCCAATCTACAGTAAATAGACACAATAATTAATGAAACAAAAATATTTTTAAACTTTTTATTCAGAAGATATTGACTGGAAGTCCGAAAACGGAAGTGGTCAGAAGTTTTTTAATTATAGAATACTCATCAAATATGAGGAAATCAATCATAATATATGATCAGGTGATGATATTAGAGGTAAATCTATAATTTTAACTTGTGAAAAATGAAGGAAATATCATTGATATGTGGGTAAATGGTGATTAGAATATTTTGAAAATTTTGACTTCAAATCAATGTATAGGATTAGATGACCCCTTCATAACTCTTAAATGCTTTTTCATGGCATTTTAAGTAACTTAGCCACCAAATCACATCCATGTGATACATGTATATACTTCTGGTATGATCAGGTTCTATATGCATGTCAGAAAAGGGAATAAATTCCTGAACAAGCCAGTCTCTACGGAATGCACGTCCAAAACAAATCAGTGCTCTAAGGGTTAATGTTAAATGAACCTCCAAAGTGGAACATTTTTAGAGGTACCAAGGGTGTTCCACTTAGACAGGTATGTAACTGACAATAAAGTGTATATATTTCATGTTGAAATGACCAATACATAATCATAACAACAAAACATTACTCCACTGAGTAGTAAATCCAAACGATTTTCTGAGGCTCAAATCAGAAAAACAATACCATAATTGTGATCTACCATTCTACCCCATATTTCCTCTAAATTAAACGGACGGATGGACTGACAGACGGACAGATGGACGGACTGACGGATTGACGGAGGGCCTCACCATATCCCTACTGAACTTCGTTCGTTGGGATAATCAAACAAAAGCTAAAAAACATTTTGATGCCCCATTGTAAGGAATAGGAGAACTGAATGACTGGATCTTTTAATATTTGCGGACTGGAAACAATTTCTCAATTTGATTTAAAATATGTCAAATATCTTGCTATTTATGTACAAAAGTGCAACAAAGATACGTTAAAAATGCCATGATAGGTATTCATCAAATCCATCAAAATATAAATTAAGAAACTTATTTTTCAAAAGTGTGATATCACGAAATTTATATCTCTTAAAGCTAGACACTTGTCAAATCATTGCTCCAATGCAATAGCATGGAGTTATCTTTTGTCAGGGTACAACTACTACATCTACCTTAATGATTAACTTATATCTAAAAAAACATTTTAGATCAGACAGTAACAAGGTCTACCTTAAAACATATCATATCACAAGGTTGAGAATTTGTATTACCGCACTTCAGAAAATAGCAGCATGAATTTGTATTCATCAATTTTAGCATAGGTTGGATGATACATACAGTAACAGTATTGTATTTATTTGGCGAGAGACTCCAGTATGCAATTTGGTTTTTGGTCATTTTCCAAATATTGACACATCAATTGCTATTTTACTTAGGAAGCTTAGTATTACTATATAAACTTACATGTGCAGTGTATCAAAAAAAACTGTGGTAAAAAAACAATTTAATATTTTGGTAACAAGGACAAAACTCAATCATAATGCCTTGTATGATTTAGTACCAGAGTTACTGTACATGTACATGTAAATAGTTTCAATGGAACACACATTTAAATGCACTGTGTAAGAACTAAAATCATGAGTACCTGAGGACACACCATTGATCTGAATCCCAATGGTTGAATCCCATTGGTCCGAATCCCAATGGTCCGAATCCCATTGGTCCGAATCCCAATGTTCCGAATCCCATTGGTCCGAATCCCAATTGTCCGAATTCCATTGGTCTAAATCGCAATCATCCAAATCTCATTTGTCCAAAATCTAACAATTGTTGATATGATAATTTCCAAGGGACCACAGGGAAATATCATGATAGAAAGACTTTTTAGCTTTGTGTATCTAAAACTTGCATTCAATTCCGTTGACCAAATCTAAGTGAATAATGTTTTTCTCTTTTTAAGATACGTGTAGGCTTATGGTATTGCAAACACAAAAATGAGGCTTTAGTCGTGTAAGATATAATGCATCTAATTCCAACATTCAAATTTATTGTTAAACGCACAGATGTCAGAATTTTTTAAAGAAACTACCTCTTATGGTTGAATGTTCTTAAAGTTAAGCAGTACTAGGTGGGAAACCAATTTTGACGATTGAGATTCAGAAGAATAGGATTCAGATGACTGGGATTCAGATGTTTGTGATATTTTTCAATGGAATTATGAATCTGACTGTAAAGTCAGATTCTGCCCAAAACCTATGATAATTCCATAAACAACTTTGAATCTATGTATATTTCAGATATTTAAGTCAAGTAGGATTGGAAGCCCAGAATGCAACATGATATGTCCCAGCATTCAAAATGCTGTTCCGCCATTTTGAACCATGTCACAAGTAAATAAGGTTAACTAATGTCGCATTCTGGGAGTCAATCCTCCTTGGATCACAAACATGGCGATTCATGAAAACATTTGTTCGATTTGGTAGGGATTTATCCATCATTTGCAGGTATGAAGCTTTGGATTCATTTATTGTGCTACTTAGAGTGAACAGGAATTTTTTTTCTACCGCTTGGGAGAGTTTGAGACACGAAACTTGGAATTTAGCTCATTGACATTGTGACAACTTTTGATGGTTGAGGTTTATTTTTGTCCCCCACTGTAATTAAGGGTTGATAATTCTTCAGAATGTTTGAATAACTAGAATATTCAGTGGCCTACTTTTCAAAATTGTAAAAAGAATTCCAAAATGCACCCTGACCTTCAAAAAATAATCTTTTCAAAAAAATAATATGCGTCTTCATCATGGTTATCCAGTTTTGGAAGTCATAGAAACCCGAGATAACGCCGAATAAATATTTGTTACTTGCATGACAACGTCATTACTTATAAAGACTTTCATACTTACCTGTAAAGTTAAAGCTACTAAAGGTGTAGAAATGTTTGTTTTTTTTGTGTACACTTCCCGTTTCCTGTTTTCAGTCATAAAACATTCGTTCACGCTGAAAAATAAAACGCTTTAGCGAAAGTGCGTTAAAATCACGAACGTTTGTTAAAGCCGTACTGTTACATTTGAGCAAACTATTCCTGCTATAACAGGTATCTTAGAAGACGGCTTATTTCTCAAATATGAATAATAGGAACATTTCGCAGCTACCTCTACCATCTGATAGGTTATGATGTCCTCTTTCTTCTGATACCAAAGTTGTCCATTTTCCACGGATCCCGTCAGGAAGAGTTTAAGGGATCTAACTTAGTGACCATATCAGAAACGGGTTTGTGCCACTTTTTCGATCTTTCATGAATGATTGAACAATGAGGTATTAAAATGGCTATGCCAGGATGGTTATTCGGTAAAGGATAAAGTGCGACACAACATCACCAAGAGACATAAAGTCGGGGCCAGGATTTTTGCAGCAGTTGAGGATCTAAGGGGACAGAGAGACATCACCAGGGATGAGTACGTGCGATGAGATCTAGGGCAGACATTTGCATTGAAAGGAATGGGGTAAAGTTGAAGGACACTGGGGTTAATTAAACAACCTTGAATGGACATTGGAATTTAAAAGGGGTGTTGATTATGATATGTGTAACTTTAATTGGAATAAATGAGTAAAAGAGTAATTGTTGCTACTTATCACATATGTTATGATCATGGTGAAATTGACTTGGCTGAAAGCGGCACAAACCCATTTCTGACATGGTCACTTAAATCCCTCGTGGCTCAGTCATCTGTGGAGGAAAATGAAACACCTTAGTATCATATGAAAGGGGACATAATGACGTAAATAATGGTACCTGCGAATTTTCCATTTAATCTCGGTCATTTCTTTTTTTTGAGACACCTTCTCTATCAGACACGAGACTCAATGAATTGTTAATGATTTCAAACGCAAATGTTAAGTGTATTAAGACTTTAAATGAGGGTGGTTAACCACTATGGATTTTTGTTTATAGTTCTTTAAGTTTTGAGACATTTTGTGGATGCATGTTGAAGAAAATTATTGTACAAATTGCATATTATAAAAAAATGACAAAATTAAAACAAGTTCAAAATAGATCGTGCAAATGTTCCTTTGTCCAATGGTATCATTACAAATGGTCGAAAACAACTGAGTAATAGAGTATCATAAGATTTGCTTTCGGATAACATCATCAAAGTTCATTTACTCATCACCTTCAGACTCTAACTCTGAAGAGAAGGAAGGGTATCTTTGGAATCATATGTGATTTTGAGAATGCCATTATGGCATTAAGGGAGGTAAAGTTACACGTTTTAAAAAGAACTGTACGTGAACGCGTCATCCTTCAAGATCGGTCCTTCACTGCTTTCATAGCAGATGTAATGCAATGAATTACTCTTGGGCACATACAAAACGTATATCTTAACCTCCCTATTACAGATTAACAACGCATAGAAATTCAAAAAAACTTATGAAATTAAAATATTTTTACAGAATAGGAATTTTATATACGTATACTTTTCCGTTATGAATTTAAATAGTTTGTTACACATTCAGCGCACCATTGGAAAGCTTATCTTTTTTATACTATGTTTGAATCAAAACTTAAGTGACTGAGTAATTAATTAAAAGTGTAGCGCATAGAATTTTCAATAATAAATGACGAAATCAAGTGTACCTTATCAGTCAGACGGTTCGTTGATTTACAATTCCACGACTATCCAGGCCCCGTACATGACCGCAAGCAAGTTACCACTAACATCGCGAGCAACGAGCTCATGTTAGATGATCGGGGCCTTGAGAGATATGATGAAATATAGTTATAGTTGAAGAACATCGTTGCCCCGCGCTGCAATTGAAATAGCCATTGCTCTATGAAATAAAGTAACACTGAGACTTACTAAAGTTTCATAGAAAATTTTATATTTCAATTTTATTACATCTCTCAACGGCCCCGCTCTTAACGTGAGTTCATTGCTCGCGATGTCAGGGGACCTTGATTAGTCCCCGTGAATCCCCTCCAAATGTTAAGCACCCCTATACTGTAGCTTCCTCATTTGACTACGTGTTAAACCCCCTCTTCTTCGCTTTGCATTCTTATTTGCATACTGTGCTCTTGCCATTGGTAATTTTCACTTGCAACTAGCCGCGTGGGCTCGCCGTTCACCACCATGTGGTTGATTTTTGGCATTCATTTTTAATTAATGGTTGTTGATTTTTGTATTTAGTGCGATCCTGCTGTAAAACTATTTGTTTTCCCAACGTGTATCCATGCCGTGCCCCGCCGTCTGCGTCAAAGTATTCACAAGGTGGCGAATAGTGAAGCCACACTGCCTAAGTTAACATGTCCATCACGAAGAAAACACTACGTGCGAAAAAAGACAATCTACCCTCCGACCACCGACTGGTGTCCTTTACAGTTTCTTTTCAAACGCTTATTATATTGAAAAAGTACTCATTGTGAAAGATAAGGACGTCTTAAATCACTTGCCATACTATACCTGGTCCTTTCTTCCCGCATTTATGGCAAATACATGATTTGTCTAGGAAAGGCTCTGATGGTTTCAAGAGCTTTTGCTAATATTGTTTTACTTGTACTGTTCTTCACTGCTTGGGTGCCACTGCCAACCATTTAGCAATCAGTACACTACATTTATCCCTTGCCAAAATGAAGAATATCCAAGATGGCTACAATTCAACAACTCTATAATTTCTCTTTACTTTTATTTACACACTCATACGTTTACAATATATGCTTTGGGTCAAATTGAATATGATTATATGTACATTATGTATGTAACATGTAAAATTGGAATAAACTTAAACTTTATGGTTTTATTTTTGCTGCATATTGTCAGTTCAACTTGTTAGTATTCTATATGAATGATGAAATACTTTACAGTTCGCCTGTGTCCATTTTCAATTCACAATTGATTGACATAAATCCACACTGTATAACAACACTATGGAAGTAAAAAATTGGGGACATATTTTCGAAAAAATGACTCAAAACAATTTGACCTTGTCATATTTACAAATAATGATGCACAGCAAAGCAGTCTTTGATGCAAATTACTTTCATAATTGGATTGTCCGAATGACAAAAAATGGCACGATCATCAGAAAGATAACAGCATGGTACAACAATATATACAAAATAAACTAGAAAAACAGCAACTCCACGGAGTAGCAAATCCCACCGAACAAAACATCATAAATGTAAATGTTGAAATGTTTGTGCACTTTGAGATAGAATCATGAAATTTGGCACAAAGTTAGTTTATACCCATAGGCAAAGGCCGATAGGAATAATTTTTAAATAAAGATGGCATGGTGGTCGATCTTAGTTTATTTATAAAAGAGAAAAAGATAATACTGGATTCTGTTGGTGCTGCCATCTTTATATCGGCCCAGAACCTATGTTTATACCATTGTGAACTAGGCATCATCATATAAAATTTGAACCAAATCCGTTAACTGGTATATGAGTTATCAAAGATTACGTTTTTACGAATATGGGCCGCCATCTTGAAATTCAGCCGCCATCTTGAAGATCATTTCTTGAACAGAGCTACTGTGTCCCTAGGCATAATCATATAAAATTTCAATCAAATCTGTTCACTGGTATTTGAGTTATCAAAGATTACGTTTTTTACAAAAAGTTGCCGCCATTTTGAAATTAAGCGGCCATCTTGAAAATGTTTTGTCGAACATAGCTACTGTGTCCCTAATAATCATCATATAAAATTTGAACCAAATCCGTTCACTGGTATTTGATTTATCAAAGATTACATATTTTTTACGAAAAATGGCCGCCACTTTGAAATTAAGCGGCCATCTTGAAAATCTCTTTTTGTGCGAAACTCCTATGTCCCTAGGCATCAGCATATAAAATTTGAACCAAATCCGTTCACTGGTATATGAGTTATCAAAGATTACGTTTTTTAAGGAATTTGGGCCGCCATCTTGAAATTCAGCCGCCATCTTGAAAATTATTTCTTGAACAGAGCTACTGTGTCCCTGGGCATAAGCATATAAAATTTCAACCAAATCTGTTCACTGGTATTTGAGTTATCAAAGATTACGTTTTTTACGAAAAATTACCGCCATTTTGAAATTAAGCGGCCATCTTGAAAATGTTTTGTCGCACATAGCTGCTGTGTCCCTAAGCATCATCATATAAAATTTGAACCAAATCCGTTCACTGGTATTTGAGTTATCAAAGATTACATATTTTTACGAAAAATGGCCGCCATTTTGAAATTAAGTGGCCATCTTGAAAATCTCTTTTTGTGCGAAACTCCTTTGTCCCTAGGCATCAGCATATAAAATTTGAACCAAATCCGCAAACTAGTATTTGAGTAAAGATTACATTTTTTACGAAAAATGGCGACCATTTTGAATTCAGTGGCCATATTGTAAATTCCTTCTCGAGCAGAGGTCCTACACCCATAAGGCATAAGCCTATAAAATTTGAATCAAATCCGTGAAACGGTATTTGAGTTATCGCCCGGACAAACACGGACGGACGGACGGCTTTTCTATATCCCTCTCGAACTTCGTTCGGTGGGATAATTAATTTTTATAGATTTTGAAATTATCAATGCTGATACCCCAACTCATCCTTTTGACAAAAGAATTTAAATAATGGCTCAGATTGGATGTCTTTTATTGATTCTCCATTACTTTGATGAGAAATGTGGTTAGGCCTACAGGTACTAATATTTTGTTTTGGGTAAAATGTACATGTACAGGGAGGTGGGACAGACTTTCAATAATTTGTTGGAAGGCTTTTTGTCATAACTTATTGATTGACCTGGTATGAACATATAACAAACATTGTGTTTTAAATATAAACATGTACTTTATTCTTACTCATAAAATATGTTAGATGCAATTCATATGTATTTTGACATGTTGCCCAGTTTGTACAAACCCCAGTCAATGGGCTTTGAGAGCAGCATAGCAGAATGATAAACAGAACTCAAGTCTTTAACTTTCAACTAGACATTAGTTTTGATAATCCCATGTAATCCTCTGTATATAACCCTGCCTCATTCAAGTCCTGATCCTATCACTAGTATTGTCCATGTTTCCTAGACTGTGCACATTATAGGACCTTTGACATGAGTATACATCAAGGACATTTCCGTGGATAGTGCAATATCCCTGTTAAAGTTCCTTCCCCTCAAATCTACATTTCCTGTTGCTTGTGTACAAATGTCACTCTGAAGTCCTGAATGTATCACTGACCACTTTCCATACATTTTCCTGTGATGTGAGCATAAAGTTTTGGTTGAACATTTTAGCTGTGTTCCCCTCATATTTCACTGAGCCCATGGTTGTAACTATGATGGATGTTTGTCCTTTTGTAACGTGGTCTGAAAAAGATCATGATAAAATATGTTTATTTTGAGGCACTTACAAATAAAGTGTCTGTTGTCAATCCTACTAAAACAAATGGGCATTCACTAACAATTTCAATAGGAAGTAGGGGCTTCCACTAATAAAATCAATGATATCACCATTTTAGATGTTCGAATGTTTACTATTTCAAAGTTTCAATTTCTATTTCATTTAATCCATCTACAAACAATCATCCACATTCAATCAAACAAACATCTAAAATATATGCATAAAAATGTATATAAATGGTTGAATGGAACCTTTTACTTGATCTATCTCATGGACATGGTGGAGTGTGGAATTGTTTCATGGCATTTTATTTTTGATGATCTAAAACTCAAATTTTTTCTGTCAAACTGGCAGGAAATTCAGAATATTTTTGAAAAATGAAACTCTAACAACTTTTTGTTCAAAAGTCAACTTTCTTTCGAAAGAAGTCTTAAACTATGATTAAGTCATGATATATTTGAATGATTAAAGAGACCTGATAATTGATAAGCGATTCAATCATCAACATACTCACCACCTAAAGGTTGACAGTCTAGAGATTCCACTTTATGTTCGCTGCTTGGCAGATCTTCTATGAACTTGAGTATGTCTGTTGTACCTGTTACACCATTACCATTCCAGACCATGGTAGCTGTGTCCATATACATCTTACCAAGCACCTTAATCAGATCATAAATATCATTGAGGAATTTAATCACATAGTTTTCCCCAATACTGTATTTGTCTTTAATTTGGGGAGTGTCTTATTTTTGTTAGACGGGAGGGTGTCAGAGACAACCTACAGGATAGGTTGGTTAATGCTATGGGATCAAATAATATTTGGATTGTTGTTACTAATAAGGACATCAAGCTTCTTACAAAATGGGATGATAAAGACCATCATAGCTAAGTACACAATCGAATACTGTAACTGTCTTTAATATGGCGAGTGTTTTAAACTGGCGAAATTTGGTGAATTAAAAAAAATCGCCAAAATCAAATAGTCGCCCAAATCCCCGGGAATATGACATGTTTTTCATTCAGTGCACTTTCGGTTATAAGAGAGATATCAAGATGGCCTTGCCATTCAAATTTATAGAAACAACAAGAAATAGTGAAGAAATTATTCATCAACAACACTGACAATGAGTATCTTGAATTGGGTTGGATGTGAGGATGTTTGGGACACTTGACAAACTGCCAAATTAAATATCATGAAAAGGGGTTTGCCCTCTGTTGAGAAAAATCTTATGGAGATTACTCTAATACTTGATTATTTGATAATAATTGAAGTTGCTTTATATACACTTTCTAAAACCTGATTGTCACTACAGGTTGGGCCAAAAAACATCCACATTTTTTTTATCCATGCATATAATATGCATTAGATTCTGATATGGTGTAATGTCATTTAATTTCATATTTCATATGCATGGGCGTTTGTTGCGCACAGTACGCCTGTGCGTACCAAATTAAAAATGTGTTAAGATGCATTAATTTGTTTGCACATTTATTGATGATTCTGTATTTTGTATATTTAACCATTAAGTTTTTATTGGAATGGAACTTTTCAAGTTGACAAAAATGCCCAGATTGCATCTAATAACGTCTTCTAAAAAAATTTCCAAGGGAAACAGACCCCAGGACCCCCCAAGATGTGCGGCCTTCGACCATGCAACCAGAGATCCCCATATGGCCATACTAACTTAAAAAAAATATAGCCCAACATACGCTCTGATGTACTTTTAACCTACTGCCAAAAATGTTTATGCTCAAACCTAGACGGTATAATATGTATTGTTAATTAAACTTCAAACCATATCTGAAATAAATGATTAAATAAATTTACAAATGCCTCCTAAGTGGGTTTAATAAATCAGACACAAGGGGTCTATATGAAAAATTACACATTTTACGATTAAATTCAAAGCAACAATTTTACAATGATGTGTGTCTCTGACGGACTGACTAAAAGTCTAATATGTCAATTTGGTACTTAATTTAAGGCATGACATCACCGTGTTTGAATCAAAGTAACAGGAAAATACTGATCACACGGGGCAACATTTAAAAAAACACATAAAGTAATAAACATGTCAAAGAGATCAATTGCTCATATACAGTTTGCATTAAAGTGGCAGAAAAATACTGATTTTATGATTTTACATCGGGACACCCTGTATATGCTTTTATTATTAATATATTGAGTCGAGCACCTCAATAAAATGAAGGAGAATGCGAGCAAAGCAAGCGGCGAATGGTTGAAATAAATTTCAGCCTGTTGAAATTGCCAAAGGCCAATTGAAAATATATTTATTGAAACCCCTGCATCGGTATAAAATTGTTGCTTCAAATAACATTCTGAAATCTGTAGTCCCCCTAGTGTCTCAACCATTAATATAAAAAAAACAGAGATTTATTTATCACACTTTAGCACTTTTTGTATTATGCACTCTTAGCCTGATTATTTGACAACATGAAAGTCAGGTATACCAAATAATGAAGATTGTGCTCATTAATGCACATGTAGTATTAACTCTTAATAAATCCATTTCTTACTTTTGTGTACAATCAGTTTTATTGATAGTTCATATAACCTTTACATGTAAGTACCAAAACAATTTGTAAGTATATCATGGACTGCATGGAGACAGATTAAGATCAACAGTTCTAATAATATCAGAGTTAATGCTATGTGAGGTTTCAATTGCAGCAGGCCAACAAATCAGGGATTTTATCACACTTTGTAGCCAAAATTGCTAGGCCTAATGGATTTGAGGGATTTTGTGACTGTTTTAATGTTAAAATTGCAACAGCTATCTAATAATTTTGCTTGTTGTTGTTTTTAAACATTCTTATTAAACTGCTGTAGGCATATACAATCCAGTTGAAAGCCCGTGATAATACACTGCATATGTATGGCCTGGTCACTAAAAGTCATCCACATCAGCCACATTAATAATGTAGTCTTTTAATGATTTTGGGTATGGCAAGTTCTCTAGTTTCTTTTCAACATAGGACCCAAGGTGTTGTCTGATTGCGAGCTTTGTCAACCGGCCTAAAGATTGCACTGTGTTTATACAACCCTTAATATAATCCAGCATGTCTTTGTTGTTTTCCAAGGAGGCTGGTAGACGATTAGGGTTATTGTAACGGTATGAGTCCAAGCGGCAGCCCCCTTGGATTAACATCCTACATATCTGCCACTCTCCTTGTTCAACAGCCAACTGTATGGGTGTCTGTGGATTATATAGATGTTTAGCATTACAGATGATGTTTAGGTTGGCATTCACATTTATAAGCGACCTACATGCAGCAATGTTGTTCGTTTTTACTGCAAACCATATTGCGGTTTGTCCTAGTCTTGCTTCAGTATTGAGATCAACATTGTTTTCCAATAGAAACTGCACAGCTTTACAACTCTTCTGTACTGCACACATTAGCAGGGACTCCCCAGTCCACGTGCACTGAACATTTATTCCAACACCACCATTTTTTCGGCTGATTTCTAACATTTTGGGGAGAACTTTATCAATCAGATGATCATCATCCAGAGCTAGGTGAAATGGAGAAATTCCATCTATATCAATACAATCTGGATTTGCCCCCTGATCCAATAAGAATTCAAGGATGTTAAATTGCTTAAACAAGAATGCTAAAGTCAAGCATGTTAGTCCACTGGATGTCTCAACATTGATGTCTGCACCATGACGTAGCAATAAACGAATGTTCTCAATTTTGCCTGATATGACTGCTAAGTGTATGGGAAGTTTATTTTCTTCATTAATGCTATCAATGTCTGCACCATTCTCAATAAATAGTTCTAATATCTCTGGACAATCCAAACTTGCAGCCATGTGAATAAATTGACCAGTCATTCCAAACGCAATATGATTTACGTCACACATTCCAACTTCAATTAACAAGCGGATTATCGTAATCCATTCTGGTTTGATCTCGGGATTCTTTTTACACAACTTGAGCACTGTCAATAGAGGGCACTCAACATTGTACATTCTGAACTGCATAGGATCGACACCAAACTTCAACAAAGTATATACACAGTCAGGCTTGCCATATAAGCAGGCAAAACACAATGCCATTAGGCCCTTAGCACCCTGTCCATGATGTGTACAAGTGTAATCCAAAAGCACTTTCAGGACATCAGCATCTAATGTATGATTGAGGAAGCTGCATGATAAGTGTTGTACAGCTGTGGAGACATGACGTTGGCTTGTACAAACCTCCAAGACTTCTTCTACCCTACTAACATTACTGTATTCTATCGCCTCCTTTAACTGACTTCTTAGATTGTCTATCCCAAGATACTGTCTAACATGTTGTGTACTTTTATTGGATTTATTCTCACCACTATAATATTTTATGCTATCATTATTTATGTCTTCATCTCCAAGACCTGATGTCTGTGCAGTAGAGGCATCAGTATCATCTATCAGTATAACATTATCTGCCTGTGCTAGACTCTCTGATTGGGTATTGCTTAATGATACTACACTATCTACTTTGGTTAAACTTTCCTTATGTGATTCCAATAGTACTGCATTGTCCATTGTTTTAATTTCCAATGTTGCATTTTCTGTCTCAGACATATTGTTAGACTGTGTTATACTGCCCAACTGAGTCACTTGATCAACATGATTATCTTGAACAGGATCTTTGATGTGATCATCTTCAACATTATCACATCTGATGATATCACCATCAGTTTCATCTTCAATGTTATCAGGTTTGATGGTCTCATCACTAGCATCATCTTTTACATTATCAGCTTTGGTGGCGTTATGAATAGTATCATCTTCCACATTATCAGCTTTGATGGTGTTATCAATTATATCATCTTCCACATTATCAGGTTTGATGGTCTCATCACTAGCATCATCTTTTACATTAGCAGCTTTGGTGGCGTTATGAATAGTATCATCTTCCACATTATCAGCTTTGATGGTGTTATCAATTATATCATCTTCCACATTATCAGGTTTGATGGTCTCATCACTAGCATCATCTTTTACATTATCAGCTTTGGTGGCGTTATGAATAGTATCATCTTCCACATTATCAGCTTTGATGGTGTTATCAATTATATCATCTTCCACATTATCAGGTTTGATGGTCTCATCACTAGCATCATCTTTTACATTAGCAGCTTTGGTGACGTTATGAATAGTATTATCTTCAATATTATCAGCTTTGATGGTGTTATCAATTATATCATCTTCCACATTATCTGCCTTGATGGTGTAATCCACATTATGATCAATATTTACACTGTCACCAATATTATCATCATAAGCATTATCATGTTTTTCATCCTTATCACTGTCTATAGAAATGGCACTCTCCCCTTTGCTATTTAAAGCCATACTGATGAGATAAGATGATGTTTCGAATATCTACTTTCTTTAAGTTGTATTTTGTAACTTTCAAATAATACTTTTTTACACCCAGCTCATATTATTGGGTAGTAAATAGTCAGATGATATGCATGGAAACGCAATAACGTCTTCTCAATAATGTCTTCATAACTGTTCTCAATATTCCACAGACCATTCCTGTCAAACAGAAAAAGTAGAATTAAAATTTGGTAATTGTTTTTCATTAGACTTGAATGTGTCTTTTCAAGGGAATCTCCATTGCTGCATTCTTGATCAAATATTCATAATAATAACCCAAAGCGAGATGATGAAAGAGTAATAGCGAATGAATTGTGCACACACAATTTTGACAGGAATGGTCTATTTTGGCGAGTGTGTCTTTTCAATAAATCGGAACGTTCAAATATCTGTTTCCTCACTAAATTACAACCCTTTCTTTTTTCATGAATCTAGTATTTATCACATAGAACTGAGGATATCATATTTCAATAACTGATTGGGTCAAAATGTTGTAATACTGCATAAGTCAGAGATAAAGTCTTTGTCAACAATTCCCTAACACTGTTGTATGTTGATCGTTCAAATTTCAAATGGCCTGAAGTACCCCCACCCCATGTTTCAATCTGAATCAACATATATGTGGATCTTATTCCTAAAATCACTTTGCCGCTAATGTTATTATTAGTTAACAAAGGCATATATTTGTATTTATATCAATTGTTAATTCCTAAAACAAGCCAAAATTGAAGTGTTATTTGTTATTAAATGTTAGTGGTTTGGTCAGTTAAGCCATCTCTGCCTTAAGTATTAATTGAGTAAACTAACTGTTCATACCTGTCTCCGTTTATCAAAGTTTTCATAGTAAAGCTTTGAGAATGCTTCTCCTGCTTCATTTGCCTGATCTATTTTGCTTGTCTGCATCTGAAAGGAGCAAAAATCATATAAAACATTGAACAATTGACCTTTTGCGATCAGAATTCAGGAATTTTTTTTATGGATACTGTTGTCATGTATTTCGTCTTATTGGTGTGACGTCATATAGAAATGATATTAGACATGATGGAATCAAGAAATGGCGTACACTTGCCAGTTTTGAGCTACCCTGCTTGCAGAGTCTAGTTAAACTACACTCTGCCTAGTAGAAACGATATTACAGTTTAGTAGCCCCGCCCCCACGACGGGTGCCGGTGACAGTTCGGGTAATAAATCACTTCTGACCTACGCGCTGACCTTTCTTCCACCAATCAGCGAGCTTGAAGAAACACGCACCAAAATAAATTCTGAATTGTCATTGATCAATTCCGGGCTTAACGATGACGTCAGAAAGAATGACCATATATAGGACGTCGGTCAAATTTGGCCGACGAGCCCTGATTGGCGCGGTGAGTTCACAGGTTTATTTTAGTTTGAAAGAGTGAAGACGGAGCTCTCTTTTAAGAAGTGAAGTCGAACGAATGCAAAGGGTAGTTTTGAGCTAAAAATATCATCGTTTCTTTATGAAAACCATGGGTCGGATATTTACCAGGTATGCCGATTTGACTAGATCATGATTATTTCTATATATGTGCGAAGTTTGGGTGAAATTCATACTAAACATCGATGCCTATAAGCGCCCCCCGCTTTTGTCAAAATCGGGGAGCGCTTAACCGCTATCTAAATCATGTCAGTAAGATCTTAGACTTGGTACGTGCTTAGCATGAATGTTGATCTAGTCAAATCGAATGCTTTCATAAAAAAATAAATCAATAAAGCACGAAATATAGAAGATAATCTCTCAAAATCGAACATCTAGAGCTGTTTGGCCTAATTGTGACGTCACTACAAGATAGAATCCATTCGGTGATCGCAAATCATCATCTGAAACACATGAAACAACACTTTTCTATGCTAAACTAACTCCCTACATAATGTAAAGGGCATGTTTAACAAGACACCAGGGGCGATCCTAAAAATCCAAAGGGGAGGGGTCAAAATAAACTGCTTCAGATCTTATCTTGATTATTAGAATCTATTTGTTTTGTATGTATGTATGTACGATTGTTTAGCGGAATGGCTACAATGCAAACAAGTTGGAATCCATATAGAATGTTTGGATCAACATTGTCAGTATTTTGGCATTGACCCGGGGACTGTGCTCAAAATATAGATAAAGGACCCAAATGTAATATTGCACAAGGCCCTCTGCATTATACTTTATCCTCTAGTCTGATATTTTTTGAAATTTGGTTGAAAATATTCAGATGACAGTGCTTATCATGAATACATGACATCTTGATTAATTCTATCACCATTTGCAGACCATGGTGATTTGAAACTTCATACCTTCCAATAATGTCTGGATACACATCCCTTAAGTTTTGTTTATTTTACATTTTGTTTACTCTCAACTACTAATGAATGGTCAGTTGAAAATTCTCTTCTTTTAAACATGGGAAATCCTCACTCCAGCAAATTCAGGCGTCATTTATTTATGGTGAGCACTGTAACTCAGTCAGATACATACTACCCTTTGCATCGGGAGTAAGTCAAGGGTCCCCATGGTAATTGCTTATTTTTTGGTGGTTTTGAATTTGATTGAGGCATAGATGCATAGTGAACAGAAGCCCCCCTTATGTTATCTACAGGCCTGTCAACTGTCCCGCAATTTGCGTATTTGTCACGCATTTGCTGAAGAATTTGAAGTCACGCCAGTTATTTTTGCGTGACAGAAAATGTCACGCAAATACGCATTTTACCTGGTAATTGTCAAGCAAAAAAATTTCTGTAGAAAAATTTCTAAAAAAGTTCGTCTACACAGCAAAAATACGAACGCCGAAAAAAAACGTACGCATTTCGTTCGGACTTTTCACGCGAATCACTAATATGTCACGCATTCCGTCCCGAAAATGTTCGTACCTACCCCCCCCCCCGTTGATGGATGTTTGAAACGCAAGCGTAGCGATCGCGAAAAATTTGAGGTGTTCAAAATTTCACAAGATGTAATAAAATTTAAACCAAGGTGTTCAAAATTTGGATCGAGGTGTTCAGATTTGGACCAAGGTGTCCACATTTAGAGGGGAGGTGTTCAACATTTCCAAGTCACTCATGTTAGGTGTTCCCAAGTTGACAGGCCTGTATCTATAGGTTATGACATGGGCTTTTAAATAAAATTGAAAGCCCAGGGGAAAGAAGTTTGGGAAAAGAAAAAATGGGGTAAATAAAGAAAATGTTTTTGCCTTGTTACATTATCAGGGGATAGAAACGCGTCCAGTTTTTTCGTCTGGTACAACTGCAAATACTGGACACAGACCATCATTTTTGATCCAGAGAGAGGTAGGTGTGATTTTACTCAGTAGCCTGTGATCGTTTTACAGTGTTTCCTTATCGAGAAACAGGCTCATCAGATTCCCAGTACATTGGGGAACATCCAATTATTATAAAATGACAGCTATCCATCTACTTTTTCTGTAATGTGGGGTTAAGCACAGAAATATTTTGATTTTTTTTCAGGAAATACTTTAATCGAGTTACATTTCTTTTTATTTACCATTTCATCGGCAAGATATGCAATTTTCTTGTGTATGATAAATGATTTAACAATGCAGCCTCCAATCTGTAAATTTTATCTTAAAAGTGATTGATAAAAGAAAAATGAGGAAATTTTAGAAATACTGGACGAAATAAAAAATGAACTGGACCCAAGCCTGTTAATACCGGATGGCTTGCATCCAGTACATTTTCATTTCGTCCGGTATATCTTTAAATTTCGTCATTTTTCTATTTTTGATCATTTTAAAGCTTAAATTTGCCGAATGGCGAATGGAAGCTTATTCTTATTCCATACACAAGAAAATGGCATATCTTGTCAATGAAATGGTAAATAAAAAGAAATCTGGCGCGATTCATGTATTTCAAAGTATTTCTGTGCTGTACCCTACATAACAAAAAGTCTAGATGAATGACTGTCATTTTATAAGAATTGTGTGTTTCTCAATGTACTGGGAATCTGATGAGCCTGTTTCTCGATAAGGAAACACTGTAAAACGATCACAGGCTACTGAGTAAAATCACACCTACCTCTCTTTGGATCAAAAATGGAGGTCCGCGTCCAGTATCTCGATTTATACCAGACAAAAAATACTTTGATGAAAATACTAGACACGTTTCTACCCCCTGGTTATGGAGAATTTAGAAATGATCGGGGCTCCGCCTGTTGTGAGTGAATAGATCTAAAGGATGTCATAAATACAAATAAATAAAAAATCGATAATTTGTGTGACTTTGGTTGGTATGGATACCCAGACAGGCCAGGAAAGCGTTTCCCGCAATTTGTTCCATATTTTATCTACGACCGTATATGTCTAGAAAATGGGTAGTTTAGAAAATACATCACCAAGAAAATGCATTTTCTAAAATTTTGGGGCTCCCAGAGGGTAAATTTAAATTATGAATTTTACTTTTAGATTTTTATGAAACAAATTGCCTACATCATTATGTATGTTGTAATATTATACATTAATTAATAAGAGGTACTAAAGTATTACTACTACACATTTAATTTTTAAATGTTATTATCGAATTCAAATATAAATCAACTATTTTAATTGAGCCAAGTATTGGATGATTGGAGGCAGTATTGATCAAATTTGCAATGGGTTAATTTTATTCTCACCTGTCTCAACAAAACAGGAATATCCCAGAATTCATACAGTCATACTTCTCTTATGTAAACTATATCATTGATTGGCCAAGGGTTCATCTATAATCCTGGGAAATGACCTCTTCTGGACGAAAAGCGTGGGAACATCTGATATGACCAGTTCCCAAAACAGTGTGTCACCTCACTGTATGTACAGTGATCGCCTACTATTAAAAGTGCGTGATCAAAGACTCGACAAGATGCGCAAAATTCGAAATGTCGGAGGAAAGGGATGTTTGTTTCTCTTTTCTTTACCACCTTAATGACATTTTACCTACAGATGGTATTCCATATGCTGTATAAGAGACTCAAGATTCATTTGGTAACAGGATTCGGTGATTGGTTCAACCGAAATACCTGAACTGAGTTAATAAATGAAGCAAAATCAAAAAACCCGCCGAATGAAAATGTATATTTCACCAAATTTTCTGTTTTTAGATCACCAAAACCACAAAACCAACATGCTTATGGTTAATATACATAATACTTAACATTACATGCATATCAGACGTTCCAACTCCCCTTCAGTATCGAGTAAGAAGGATGTTATGAAAACAATTTATGATCAGCCAAGTGGGTGATTTTACCATGTGGATTCTAATGATATGTTCTTTGCATTTCAGAGTGGTTGGGTTTACATGATTTTTCTGTCCTTCATTACGAACTCCTAAATTTCAAATCATTATAAACCACCTTGTAGAACATCATGAAGAAGAAGAGATGAAGATGAAAAAGATTACTGAAAATAGAGGCAAATCTAGAATGATAACAAGAAATTTCTCTGGAATAATACCAAATGAAGTGAAATCAATAAATAAAAAACACATACTTGTAGAAAGTGATGAATTCATGACAATTTCAGTGATTGACAATAATCGAATGAAATCATCCAGAATCTCTGATTCAACAACTGCTACAAAATCAAATAAAATTACCAATGAAATTGCAATAGAACGAGAATATCAATTAGTAATGAATTGACAATAAATGATTCTGAAATTACAATAGACTCTCATTCTCCAATAGTGTCCACCAGTTAATCTGAGATGATACCCCTCTGAGCAAAGCCTAAACTGGAACTTTTACTCGGTCCCATCGATCCACATAACTCTGTCATTAGAGATAATAGCATGGTATTTATTTCACATTTTGTAGAGTTTCTCTAAAAACGCTCACTGGTCGTTTATTTTGCATTCGATTACATACAATTCTAAAATTCTCAAGCGAATCACTTATAGAC